AATTGTATATACAATTTTATATACAATGTGTATATACAATTTGTATAAAATATTATATACAAATGTGTATATACAAAAGTATATCTAATTTGTATATACAATTGTATATACTAGTGGTTTAAAAAACAGATCGGTGACTCCAGAAACCCATTCGGATCGGTGAATCGGATAGGGAACCGACCAACTCGATCGGATTAAGCTTTAAAAAAATCCAAAAAAATTATTAAAATTCATTATAAATGTTTTCTTTTAAGAATCCAATAAGAAATGAGGGTACTACTTTGTTAACTTTCATTTTTTTCCTCAATTTGTGAATATTGATATGTTCTTTCTCTGTATAAACTTATGTTAACCATTAAGTTTACATCACACAAGAGAAAAATCATATAATCATCATGGAAAAAGTATATAATCATACATGGACTACAATAAAGAGTAGTCTAAATCAAAAAAAATGGTCACTAAAATCTTGACCTGGCGAAAAACCCTAATCCGCTAAAAAAACCTAAATTGTTACAACCTAACTAACTATAATCTAAAATTATCACAACTTAACTGACTATGATATTATATACTGAAATTAAAATTGTTGGTTTACATTTTATAATACAAATAATAACAAATCCAAAATATTTTATAATATCATCAAATTTAAAATGTATTATTGACAACGGTAAGAAAAATAGTACATTACATGATTTATAATGCAAAAATTAATTAATAAAATAAAATATTTGGTTATCAATATAGAAAGTATTAAAATGTATATCAATTTTCGAAATAACACTTTAATTTTTCAAAATTTTAAATTTTTAGATTTCTAGAATAAATTTAGTAAAAGAGATTATTAGTAGAAAGAGAGAGATTTCATAAAAAACGGATCGGTGCCCTAGGGTGTATTCTTACAACCTAACTAACTATAATATTGCATCATTTATTCCTAGGGTGTATTAAGAAATATATGTTGTATTTATAACTATCTTTTATTTTTTTTGACAATAAATATTTATTGTATTATCTTTTTTTTTTTTGGTAAGAAAAATATGATACTTGTTGTATTACTTTTTATTTGACAAAAAAATTAAGAAGGTGTTGTACTACATTTTTTTTTTTTGTATTATCTTTTATTTTATTTTTGAAAAGAAATACGTTATATTAATTTTTATTTTTTGACAAGAAAAATAAAAAGATGTATTATTATTTTTTTTTTACCAAAAATGCTTGTTGTATTACCTTCTATTTTTATTTTTTTCCTTTTATTTTTTTTACAACAGATTTTTTTTCTTCTATTTTTTATTTTTTTCCTTTTATTTTTTTTGCAACATGATTTTTTGTCTTTTACGTTTTTAAAAAATAAAAATAAAAAATATGTATTTTTTTTTACCAAAAATGCCTGTTGTATTACCTTCTATTTTTTGTTGTTTCCTTTTATTTTGTTTACAACATGATTTTTTTTCTTTTACGTTTTTAAAAAATTAAAATAAAACCCCAAAGGGGTATTTTTTTCCTTTTATTTTTTTACAACATGAATTTTTTTCTTTTACGTTTTTAAAAAATAAAAATAAAAAAATGTATTTTTTTTACCCTAAATGCTTTTTGTATTACCTTTTATTTTTTATTTTTTTCTATTTATTTTTTTGCGACATTTTTTTTCTTTTACGTTTTTTAAAAATAAAAATAAAGCCCCAAAGGGGTATTTTTTTCCTTTTATTTTTTTTACAACATGATTTTTTTTTCTTTTATGTTTTTAAAAAATAAAAATAAAGCCCTAAAGGGGAATCACGCACAAGAGAAATCGAGGGTGAAAAGCACAGGCCAAAATCCACAGAGCTAACCTCCTCCACCAATTCATCACATTATGTTTATGAGGCTGTAATAAATATATACGTGCTATTAGTTATGCAACTCTAATTTTGTCCCACATCGAAGGACGAGAGCACTAAAATGCTCTAAAAATAAGAACACAATAGATGAATATCATGCATGTGCAGGTATGGGGGCGATGTGTCACGTGCTAATGTGTCTTGGCACCCACGAGGTGGGGCTGCCATGTGTTTGCTAGCTAGATAACCGACGAGTCTATTATTGAGAATTGGTGATATTTTGCCGATTTACAACAGTAAATAAATTGGCGGGCCCGGTTTCAGCTGGTATACACATTACTTTTGTATATGCAATTGTATATACAAATTAGATTTCTAATTGTATATACAATTTGTATATTTAATTTATATATACAATTAGATATAAAATTGTTATATCTAATTATATATATAAAATAAATATATAAATTGTATATCTAATTAGATATACAATTTGTATATCTAATTTGCATACAATTTGTATATAAACTGTATATGTAATTTGTATATCCAATTGTATATCATTTAGATATGCAAATTAGATATAAATTGGAGGTACACAAATTAGATATATACAAATTCGATATACAAATGTATATATACATTGCGTTTGTATATGTAATTTTATATCTAATTACAAATGTATATATAAAATTAGATAAAAAATTTTAAATTTTAAATTTTAAATTTAAATGTATATACAACATGACAAAATTTTAAATTTGAGATTTTTTTGTACCAAGATTAATTTTATGATAAAATTTGGAGGTACACATTACTTAATCTGATGATACAAATCTTATGATAAAATTTGGAGGTACACATTACTTTAATCCCTATCAATCTTATGATAAAATATGTAAATATTTATTATCTTTATATATCCGATTTTTCACTACGTTTTTTTGCACCAAATCCAAAATATTCACGATTCTATAGCTTACCTTATTTTTGACGATCTGTTTTTTTGACCCGATTTTTTCCCCCGACTTTTTGAAATAAAATCAAATTTTTTATCGATGTTTTGGTCTGCAACCAACACCTAAATAAAAAACGCATCTTCGTTCTAACATGAATAGCAATGTTCTGGTTCTAAGGCCTATTGAAACCCAAAAGTGTTTTTGTTTGCTCAGCTCCTATGGGTTAAATTTGTTTTATAACATGAACAACAATGACCTTTTCTTGTGAGGCCTATTGAAACCAAAAGTGTTTCTTTTGCTCAGCTCCTTTAGATTAGGAATTAAAAACAAATTTCCTTTTTCTTAATCGTGCAAGAGTGGCTATTTCCGATCTTGTTAACTCTGATAAATGTTCCTGAATTTTTTTTTTCTTGAGTTCTTTGATCCTTGATCATTCATATCCTTCTCCATAACGTTGTATTTTTAAAATTAGTAGGATGGACGATAGATGCATTTTTAAGAATGGAAATGATTTTTTTGAATAAATTTGTTATTGGACTTAAATAACAAATTTAAAGGGATTAAGATTCGGGGAACGACTCTTGAAAGTGCATAGAGATTTGAGGAATTTTAAAACGAAAATAAGGGAAAAAAGGAGTTAGGCCACCTCAAAATAGCAGTCGTTAAACCAATTCTCCTGTCAAAGTGATTGCTTTTTAGGAATTGTCTTCTTCATGTACTTAATTATTTTTCGAAAGATTTTGAAATTGTTCTCATGGTGTGTTTTGAATTTTAGATAAAGTATAATATGACTGTTAACCTTTGATACAAGGAGGTCACAATTATTTATAGTCATCCGATGTGACATCTGATCGCTTGGGTGTGTCACAAAATTCAAGAAAATTTCTTTTAAAATTTGAGCTTGATCAATGGAGTAAACACATCCATCTAATTTTACATCTAATGTCCAAGATTCATTGTGACCACCGATACCCAAAATAAATGGTGTCATTGTATATATTTTTTCAAAAATCTATATAAAGTTGCAATTTTATACCACATAAGTAAGGCGCATATCAAAACAATATGAAAGCAGTAGAAAAGAGAATGACAAAGTTGGAAAATCTTTCAATTGATCATTTAGATCTCAAGTTGTATGGATATTAAGGAAATACTAAAACATAATTTCATTGCCTTTAAAGATTTTCAATTGTTATTAGATCTGCTTAATGTAATTATTTGAAATTCTTCATAACACCGTTAAACATAGATGTTCAAGCCATTGTAAGGTTTATGGAAACCTGGATGACACTTTTTACCCCGCCAATGTCTAGATCCACCCCCAAAATGCCCGAGTTTTGAGTGAGAAAAGAAAACGAAAAGAAAAAAAAAAAAAAAAAAGGTACTAATGTTTAACTAATATGCCGAGTGTTTCAAAAACCAATAAGAATATTTGTGGCCACCAAACAAGTCGTTATAAAACACGAAAGAATATATCATTACCCAACTTATCTGTCTCAAAATCTGAAATAATAGATCACATTGTAAAGCATTGATTAGGCTACAAATTCCTTTTCCTTACACTTAAATAAAACACAAATATAAAACATAGAATAGGCCACAAATTCCTTTTCCTTACACCAAAATTTGCATGAGACTTGGAGTTCCATGGATTTCTTGGAATCTTCTTACAACTCTTGGTGCTATTTCTTGTCCAACATAAACTGAAAAATAGCTATTAATCATTGAATGAAGGATAAAGGCTAAATATATGTATCTAGAAAATGAATGAAAAATAAATAAAAAATGAAAAGGACCACCACCCCTCAAATAGAGAATATAAAGGTTATACAACAATCAAGAAAACCATATTTCCTAGAGAGAGAAAGGTTTAGAGAGAGAGAGAGCCAAATGGTGAGGCCAGTTCTCCTCTTATTGTCCTCTTCATGATCTCTAAACTTGGTGAAATAAAAACATCCAAACACTAAACAATAATCAAGCTACGATCAACCGATACTCCTCTGAATCATCTGGAAGTAGCGGTTCATGGAGTCAAGACGCTGGAGCTTCATTTGCTCGTAGAACTGTGCAATGAACTCCTCCGCCTTCTCGTCGATGGAATCGAAAGACTCCTCCCTGATTTCCTCAGAGCCCTCTTTGCCCTCACCTCCATTCTTGTCGAGTTCTACCAAGTTCTCCACAGATGCGTAGCAACTCATCCCGCCATCACTGTCATACTCCTTTTCTTTGCAAGCCCTTGGTGGGGCTTGCACATCGTGAAATGGCTCCGGCTCGCACTCAACCTTTGGCTCATGCTCTAGTTTTTTATCAGGCATGGGCTCGGGCTCAATGCCGGTCTTAGGTGCCTCAAGATTGTGCTGAAGGTTATGGTGCCCGGGCAGCATGGCGCTAACGAGGCTTTTCCAAATGCTAGCCTCCATGCGAGCACCATTCGACTTTCTGGCCCTACGAAGCATGAAGGTGGCCACCATGACCGTGCTCCAAAAGCCCCGTTTTTTTGTAGAAAGGCTTCGAGAGGCCTTTCTACGAGACCGATCCATGGTTTCGAGTCGGAGCCGGTCTGCCCTGCGTTAAGCAGGGCTCTAGTGGGGGTTACACCATATACAGGGGCAGGGGAGGGGCATGTTTGTATTTATATTATTTAGACATAAGAGGGGAGGTGAAGAGAGAGAGTGTTGGGGAAGAGAGAGAAAGGGAGAGGTAGGGCATTACCGGGTCAAAGAGGAAATGAAGGGGAGGTGAAGGGAGAGGATTGGGGAAGAGAGAGAGGGGGAGAGGGAGGGCATTACGGGGTCAAAGAGGGAATGAACAGAATTGGGTTGGGTTGGGTGGGTTGCCTCGTATTGTTGGTGTCTCCATGAAATCCATACTACCTTCCACAGGATTCAAAGCTGTATTTTCGCATCTCTCGCTGTAGTTTCATTGAAAACATAATTTTTAATTATTTGGAGTCAGTTACACATATCCTGATCTACTCTATTAGACATATTCTGTTGTATTAATGGACTTACATTTAGTGCACTTCCTTATTAGGGATCACTACCATTTAATTGTTTGTCTTGCTCCATATGCTCAATATTCTTAACTTGTTTACCAAATTGCCAAAATGCCCATGCCGTTTTTGTTTTACAAAGTTGCCACCTTAACTGGTAGAATTAAGTTGCACCTCAAAAATCAATAAGAAAAAGCCTTTTTTGATATTAGAAAACCCTATAAATGATCATCTTGAAATCGAGATCTATAGGGAAAAAAGATTTTGAGTCCCAAACATTGAGCATCTTGCAACATATTATTTGGACTACCCCTTTTCAAGATTTTCATATGTTTATAAATTTACTTCATTCGAACCTGAAATTAAAATTTTGTAATTAGATATAAAAATGGATTTAAAATATTGTAATTAGATATAAATTGTATATACAATTTGTATATACACATTGTATATACAAATTTGTAATATACAATGAGTATATAATTTGTGTATAAAAAATTTGTATACAATGTGTATATACAAATTTTATATATAATGTATATACAAATTGTATATAAAATGTGTATAAAATTGTAT